GTAATCTTGTTAAACTCATTGAAGATCTGCTCCTTGCTCATAATCTTCGGTATGTTGCCAATGAAAAGCCTCACATTTGGCACTGATATGTTTACTTTTAATGCGAAGTTCTTCGAGCGAATCTTGTGTCCGTTTAGCTGGGAAAACTAGGCCGTGTTAGTAGTGCACGCTAGTGTTGACACCGTTTGGCGCCAAAAAAATGAAAACAAGCAAGCACTCACCTCCTGGACCGCCCTCTGCGCGTCCTTGGCGTTGGTGTAGGTGATGAAGCCGTAGCCGCGCGAGTGTGAGGTCAGTGGGTCGATCATCAGGCGGAGGTCCCAGATGGTGCCGATCTTCTCGAAGAGCGGTATCAGCTCGTCCTCGTAGACGTCCTTCGGTATGTGGCCGACGAAGATCTCGCAGCCGGAGGCGGGCGCCGGGTCGGTCCAGTCGGGCGGCGGGCCGCCGTACTTTCTCTGCCCAACGGTCACCTGATGTGAGTAGTCTTTGGGGAAGGGAAAAAGTTGTCAAAGTTGTTCTATTTTAGTTCATATAAACTTTTACTTGTGCGGTCGAGGATTGCCTTCAACTTCGCCGGATCGGGTCCGGTGGGCCCGGTGGCCGCCGCCGACGAGGTGGAGCCGCCCACTTGTGAGTCTGCTGAGGAGGCGGAGGAGGAGACGTTGCCGCCGTCGTCGCCGCTGGTGCTGGTGTTGGCCTTGTTTTCGGCGGGCAGGCCATTTTCGTAGCCGCCGCCACCGGCACTGCCACTGGAGCCACTCTTCCACATGTTCACGTCCATTTTGGCCATCCACTGGTGGACATTGAGTGGTGTGAGTCAGCGAAGAGAGAGTGAGTTGTGGTGGTGGTGATGGTATTGATGATGATGACGATGATGATTACGGGGATGGTGATTGTGCTTATGATGACGGTGGTTTGGTGCACCGGTGGACGGAGAGAGGAGAAGAAGGAACACAAGTGAAGAAAATATGTTACAATATAACAAAATAGTGTGAACAAGGCGATAGAAGTAGTAGTAAGTAGATAAGGGGCGAAGTGAGTTGGAGAGCTGAGCTTGTGTGATAGCTGGTGTGATTTCAGCAATGAAGAAGAAGTAGGTGGTGGAGGTTTGGTAGTTTACGGAGAGGGGAGGGTTGAAGATGATATTTCGTCGAAAAGATGGCAAGGCAACTTGATGAGGGAAAGGTCAATTAAGGAGTGCTCAACACTGCGACAACAGACTGTCCAGCAGGTGAAGTGCAATGTCGTCGTCGTGGTCGTTATGGTGATGATGGTGATGGTGGTAATGGTGGTGAATCTTCAAAACACCTTCTTCACCGTCGCCGAATCCGCCTGCAGGTGGGAACACGGTGGGCGCAAGTTGGCGGCAAGCAATGCTGGTGTGTTGCAACAACCACCAAACAGCAACAAAAAGCGGAACACACACAAACTAGCACTTGCACAACAACAGCAAAGGCTTTGGCCACTGGAAACAGATACACTCAGGGAAACTATCGCCAACTACCGCTGAGAATGCTGAGGAGTGCTGCGGAGAGTGAGAGTAAACAGGGCACAACAGAGGCGGCAGAGGAGAACATGGGAGAATGAGAGAGAATGAGAATGCCTTTCCCTCTGCGAGAGAGAGTATCGGCGGGCTTTGCTGGGCAACGGTCACTGCTGCTGCTGCAGGAGAAGGAGGAGGAGGTAGTAGCTCAGCTGGGTCTGCAGAGAACGCTGGGGATGTGATGACGATGGTGGTGGTGGTGGTGGTGGTGACGGTGACCCTTGATGGTGGAACCCAAACAACAGTCCCAGGACATCTCTCACCTAGTCATCATCAGTTGGCCGTAGTCATCAAAACACAACACAATGTGCTGCTGCTCATAAAGTAGAACCGAGTCGAGGATTCTGTTGCTGTTGCTGCTGCTGCTTCGCTCTCACTCCGTCTCGCTCCTGCTGTTGCTGCTGCTCTTCTCTCTGCTGCTGTTTCTTCTTGCTCCAGCCACCTCGTCTTCTTCTTCTTCGCTGGCTGCTGCTGGCCGGTCGATGATATCACACGTGCTAACACCGGAAGCCTTTCAGCAGTGCTATCGCTGCGCTGTGCTCTCTCTCTCACTTACTCGCGAGGAGGGAGGGATCGACGGAGCCTGCTGCCGCTCGGCAGTGCTCGCGTGCGCTCCTTTCCACGCGCTCCTCTCTCTTTCTTACTAGAAGTAGCAGCACAGCACGGCACCCCCTCCGCTCCCTTTCCCCCCGCACGTTTTCTTTCCCCTCTTTCTTTCTTCAGTGGCGCCCAGTGCACCCCCTCCTCAGTGCATTCTTCTTCTTCTTGTACCGGCAAATCAATGAGCCTTCTTGGGCATCTTCTCTTAAGGTCCTCTTCTAGGATGCTCTTGGATTGTTCCTCTCTGTTGCTAAAGACGACAACGTTGCCAACGTTGCTTGGTGCTTTGCTGCCGCTGCCGCGCCAACGGCGCAAAAAGTCCGTTGCAGTGCATATAGCAGCTTGCTTCTCCGGATGTAGAAATAGTGGAAAGTTTTTTGAAAAAAATAGTGGCTCTAGATTGGAAGTTGGAACTTTTGGAACTTTNTTGTTCCTCTCTGTTGCTAAAGACGACAACGTTGCCAACGTTGCTTGGTGCTTTGCTGCCGCTNTTGTTCCTCTCTGTTGCTAAAGACGACAACGTTGCCAACGTTGCTTGGTGGTGCTTTGCTGCCGCCGCCGCGCCAACGGCGCAAAAAGTCCGTTGCAGTGCATATAGCAGCTTGCTTCTCCGGATGTAGAAATAGTGGAAAGTTTTTTGAAAAAAATAGTGGCTCTAGATTGGAAGTTGGAACTTTTGGAACTGAACACTTTTTTTTGGAAATACGATGTAACGAACGGTTCTGGGTTACTTGAGCTGGTGGCGGTGGGTTTGCACATTCAAACACCTAAACGAGNTTGAACACTTTTTTTGGAAATACAATGTAACGAACGGTTCTGGGTTACTTGAGCTGGTGGCGGTGGGTTTGCACATTCAAACACCTAAACGAGGGGGGGGAGAAAGAGAGAGAAGCGGTGATTTAAATGGCAATTTAAAAGGCAACACAACTGAAAACGGGTTTCCCATTGGCTGACGCCAGAGTAGAGTGGAGGGAGCCTTCCCCTTCTCTCTTGCCGGTCGCCGGCCCATTAGATCGTTCCGGGTAATGTAATGGTGGCGGCAGTGATGCTTGCCGTTTATTCCGATTGCATTGCCCAGGTCATCAAATCGGGGCGGTAAAAAAGGGTAGCATATCACAGAGGAGCTCTAGGATTGATGAAATGATGATGCTGAGATCATCCTCATGAGGAGGTGGGCGTCGTGGGCGACTGCAGATTCGCCGGCAGCCGGTGGTTGGGCCGCTCGATGCGCTGGTAGTTGGGGAGGATCTTCCCGAGAAAGTCAATCTGCGAGAGCTGCGAGTTGGGCTTCTCCATCTGCGTCCGCCGCTCGCAGCCCGACCCGAAGATGACGGTGTTCTCCGGCAGCAGCTCGTCGTAGTTGACGGCGCACATGGCGCCCACGACGCAGCCGGTGCTCAGCCGCGTCAGCGGCCCCACCGTCGCCTTCGACTCGAAGACGTTGTGGTCACCGACGACGGGCGCCTCGGAGCGGGCGCCCACCTCGAAGACGTTGTGATTGCCGATGACCATGGTGACGCCGGGCGTCCGATTGACGATGGTCACATTCTCCTCGATCAGGTTGAAGTCGCCGATGACGATGGGCCCCGCCTCGGCGAGAATGGTCGCCGTCGGGTGGATCACATTCTTCAGGCCAATGGTCACGTCGCCGTCGATGCGCGTGTGCTCCGTACAGACGATCGAGCTGAAGGAGATCTTGACGCTGGTAATGTTATTTACAGGTTAGGTACTTCTTTGAAGCAGAGGGTTATCACAACAGCAACGCCTACCTTTCCATGTTGATTGCCATGGCTGCTGCTTTTAGAGTGAAGGTTCAAGTGGTGATTGTTTTGATCAGCAGCTTTGTTGTTTTGTTGTGCAGCCGCTCGCAGACAGCGGTGGCGCCAGCAGCTGCAGCGCCAGTGGCACGCTCCCCCTGGCGGACGACCGTTTTGCACATGAGCAGCCACGGTCGTCGGGCCAATCAGCGTGCAGTCTGCACTGCCGTTGGCTTTAAATCTTGCGCTGCTTCGGCTGCAGACAGTGTGTGTGTGTTTGATTTGTGTTTTCGCTTCCAGATCACGTTAGTTCTACTTCTTCTCCTGCTGCTTTTGCTTCAGCGAATCTAAATCTCTCTTCATCTTCTTGAAGTTCTCCTCTTCTTCTTCCACATCGGCGTCAGCCAGAGGATGTCCTCCACGGAGACGCCCAGCCGTCGGCGTCGACAAGTGACCACGACTGCAGCTGCGNCTGCAGCAGCTTCAGCGGCAACTGTACCACGAGCACCGGCGAAACCTCGAGCGGCGGCGGCTCCAGCAAGCGCGGCCAAGGCCGCCCACACCAAAACCACCNAGTGACCACGACTGCAGCTGCGGCGGCGGCGACTGCACCACGAGCACCGGCGAAACCTCGAGCGGCGGCGGCTGCTCCAGCAAGCGCGGTCAAGGCCGCCCACATCGTCACCACCAAAACCACCACCACCACCACCACCACCAAAAAGACGTCCTCCAAGTGTGATCTCTTTCGCTCGCTCTACAGTCGCGCCGTTTGGTTCGACCGCGACGAGGTTCGATCTGTCCCGCTGACCGATGTGCACGCCGTCGCGCTCGGCTTTGCCGGCCACCTGAAGACCTGCCGGTGCTCCAGTCCGGCCTTCGACAAGCTCCTTCTCGCCTCTACCTATCTCACCGAGTTTGGGCTCATCTCCACGGCGGCCACCGCCACGGTGGACAAGCTGCTGGAGCAGAGCGAGGTGGCCACCATCACGCCGTCTTCCGCCGCCTCCTCTGCCTTCTACAAGAGCGACTTTGACCTGAGCAAGCCGGCCAGCAAGTTTGTCGCCCATCCCCTCGCCGAGCCGATTAGGGCGGCTCACCTCCGCCGACTGATCGCCCCGGCCGTCCGCTCGCTGCTCTACTTCACGCAGGCCTTCGAGGAGGACAATGCGGACAGTCCGCTGAGCGGGGTCCTAATCACCAACAGTTTCGTGATGGACAAGCTGAGCGCCCTCTTCCACATCTTCACCTTCTACAGCCTGCCGCAGTTGGCCTTTCGGGCGGCCAGTACCGCCCTGCACTTTGCCCGTCGGTACTACCTGGAGGGCAGGCGCCTGGAGAAGGGTGTCTGCTTCAGCTCGTCGCCCGATGAGGTGCT